GCCTGTAATCAGCTATGCGTGCAACTCAGAATGGAGGTCTCTTTACAGAGCTAGCAGCCTGGGCTGTCAGTACCTCACACAATCCCCACTTCTGTGAGGACATGCACCACCGGCCAAAGGAGGGTAGTGGGGACATGAAAACCCACAGAAGTTGTAGACTTGATGCAGGAATTACTGAGAGTGGTTCTCTGGCCTCTGTGGTACAGCTGAGATGGCCCTAATGACCTTTTCTGGCCTTACAATCTATGAATCTTAATGACTTGGCCAGAGAGTCATAGATTCCAAGGCCTGAAGGGACCACTGTGATCATTAAGTCTGACCTCCTGCGTATCGCAGACCATTGAGTTTTCCAAAGCAATCCCTACAGCAAAGGTGGGGAACCTTTTTTTGGATCAGGAGCCATTGACCCACAGAAAAATCTGTCAGATGCTGCACACAAGTGGTCCCTAACTGAGAAGGAGAAAGACACTCCCCATATTTCCCTTGCACACTAGAGCCTAGGAGGGCCCAGGCTAGTAGATTTTGTATGCTCCAGCCCCATGGTGGGGCCACAGGCTCCCCAGTGTTAAGGCAGACCCCTGAGACTCAGGACTAGATCCAAGCAAGCCAAGGGCCACACCTGGCCCCTGGGCCTGAGATTCCCCACTCCTGCCCTAGAGCACCTCTCTCCGAAAAACCACCCAATCTGGGTTTAAAAATGGTTAGTGATTGAGAATCCACCACGACCCTTGGTACATTAGTCCAACAGCTTCTCTCTCTCTCAAAAAATTACACCATATGTCCAGTCTGAATTAGTCTAGCTTCAGGTCCCTGGATCATGTTATTTCTCTGCAAAATTGAAAAGCCCTTTTTAAATATTTGTTCCCCATGTGAATAACTCCTGTAACTTGTATAAATTACTTGATCAAAACACCCCGTGACTTTCTCCTTTGGGGGGCTAAATATTGAACTCCTTGAGTTTATCACTGTAAGACATTTCCTAATCCTTTAATGATTCATGTGGATCTCCTCTGAACCTGCTCCAGTTTGTTGACACTCCCCCGCCCATGCTCAAGCTCTGTTGTGGCAAATACCACAACTGCTTACACAGAAGATAAATAAGGAGACAAATCGATGTATTTGGAGAGTGCTGCAAGTTGTGTCTAGTTCCTCTTCTTCCCGTAGGTGCCAGTCACCCCGGCAGATCCAATTAGGCTCACTCCCCATTGTTTCCAGGTGCTTCCCAGGCATCTGCCCTCCTTTCTGCACTGAAAAGCCTGAGCATCTATAGAAGCAAATGGAAACAAGGAGGAACAGCCAGCACCATGTGATGTGCCACCAGAACTGTCCCATCCATAGGATGAATCAGGGCAGCCGCCCCAAATGTCCTATGGATGGGAGGGACCTGGGGATTACAGGGCCCGGGTGTGGCAGCAGCAGGGGTCACCTTCCCTCCTCCCTACTCATTATGTGGGCAATGGGAGCTGGAGCGGCCCAGCAGTCTGCTCTGCCCTGCCCTGCTGCTCTGACACCCATTCCTGGCCTCACTGTGCTCAGCTTCCCCATGGAGGTGGGAAGCAGAGCGTGCCACCCTGGGGTGCTCTGGTTCCTGCCACCCGTGGATAAGCGAAGCACAGCAGGCTGGAAGGATGGCATCGTGGGGCACAGCAGGCTGCCAGGCCTCTCTGGCTCCCACTGCACACGTGGTGAGTGTGGCAGGAGGGATGGGGGAGGTAACTCATGCTGCCGCTGCGACAGGCATCCTTAATAGCCCAGGCTGCATTGCTTGAGGAAGGAGGTAAGGGGACAGGGCGGAGGGGGATAGAGTTGCCAGGTGTCTGGTAGTGACCCAGACAACCTGGTATTTTCACCTCCTGTCCAGTAAAAATATTCAGAAAATACCAGACACATAAAATGTCTGATATTTTCTGATGTTTTTTCCCTGCCAGGAGGCAAAAATACCGGACACCTGGCAACTCTACACACACTCAGCAACGGGGCCCAGCCCCAGGCCCCTCCGGCCCCTTCCTCCAGTTCAGACTTTTTCCCCTGCCAGGAGGTGAAAATACCGGACACCTGGCAACCCTATACACACTCAGGAACCAGGCCCAGCCCACAGCTCCTCTAACCTTCCCCCCCCACACACACTTAGCTGATTCTGCAGGAAAGTTGCCTTCTGGCTCTGATCAAGAAAACAAGATGGCCACCAGCAAAAAGCCTAAAGACTTTTCTTAAAGGGGCCATGCTGTTTTATGCTGGTTTTTTTTTTTTTTTTTTTTTTTTTTTTGATTAATAACTCTCAGGGTCTTTTTTTTTCTTTTTGCTCAACAACTTTGATCTCCCCCCTTTTTTTTCTCAACAGAATTTTTTCCCTGGTGTTTTTTTTTTGGGAGGGGGGAGCAGAGGGTGTTAGGTATTTTGGGTTAAACCATCTGGCAGCCCTAGAGGTGGAGCAGGGGCAGGGCTTAAGGGAAGAGTGAACTGAGGGCAGGGAAGGAGCAGGCCTGCAGCAGAGGGGTTTCCCCAGGTCTTGTGCCTGGGAGGAGGTTGCCCCAGGCCCCACATCCCTCTTGAGACAGCCCTACCTGAAACTTCTACATGGTCTGCCAAGAAGTGTCACCAATAATCACAGGGGGAGACACACACACTAGAATGGTGTGTCTCAATCAGTGTTGCCAGGTCTCAATTTTATCCCGAGTCTCATGCTACTTGCCATTTTACCTGAAGCCCAATCTCCTGGGGTCATGTTATTGTGAAAGAGTCCCAGCTTTCACCTCTTTTTGAAACATGCATTTCTTGCAAGCATGGATGCAGAGAAAGGCTTTATAAAATATATATATATATATATGGGAGATTGCCTATCTCCTAAAACTGGAAGGGACCTTGAAAGGTCATGGAGTCTAGTCCCCTACCTTCTCAACAGGACCATCCCTGATGAATTTTTGCCCCAAATAGCCCCTGCAAGGATTGAACTCACAACCTTGGGTTTAGCAGGCCAATGCTCAAACCACTGAGCTATCCCTCCCCCTTTAAAGAAGTGAAATCTGAGGATCAAAATCAAGAAGATAAAAAATTAACCTCCAATTTATTTTCCGTGTATCATGATTTTCAGCCACTTGTGTGGTTCTTAGGGACCTGACACAATGCATGGGGCTGGCAATCCTGCATAATGAACCAAAAGGATTAGTATTATTATTTATTCAGACCCATAAATACATATATAGTAGACTCCTGTAAAAAATAAATCAAGCGTTATTGCACCGCAGTCGTTGGCTTTATTGTGATGTTTCCTGGACAGTAGGTCAGTGGAAAACACTAAATACTGCAGTAAATTGCAATGCAACTAGCATATTTTTTTCTTTAAGAGGGAGGTAGCATACCAGCACGGTGCCGTAGTCTTCTCTTGTTTTCAATGTTCTGACAGAAGAATAAAATCTTAACTAGAATAGAGAGAAAACACATTCAATATTCCCTCTAATCTTTTCCATCCATGTCTGGATTTTTTTCATCTATGTGTGGAATAAAGTTTATGTGCACCAAAGCATGTGTGAATGTTCACCACCGATAGAAACACAAAAGCGAGCTATGGTGCTCTGCTAATCAGCTGGGTGGCATTTGAATTTCTCCTAAGTGGCCACACAAGCACACAGCATAAAGGGAACAGTTTGCATTCATGTGCGGACATAACTGTACACATGCAAGTTCTAAGCTGTGGAAGCAGAGTGGAAAGGTTGTTCTTGACATTTTAGCATGCATTTGGGTCACTGCCTTCTTTACTCATGACAAAGCAAAATAGCAACACTTTGGCTGGAATATGGAGTAATGGATCTCTTTTGGCAAGGTCAAACTGGCTGCAGTAAGCATATTTATTTCCATATCCATCTCTCTGTTAGGGTCTCACCCTGATCTGTCTCAGTCAATGGCAAAGTTCCCACTGATTTCAAGATCAGGCCAGGTTGGGCAGCAGAAGTCTGGGAGAGCTAACTGGAAAAGGAAAGTAGGCAAGTGTGAATGCAACACTGGCATTATGCGAGGGGTGGGTCTTAGGTGCTCCAGAAGGCGAGCAAATATAACGGAGGAAGGTTAGTCTCACGGCTAGGGCATTACACTAAGACTCAGGTTCAATTCCTAGCTGTGCACTGTCTTCCCACATGACCTTGGGAAAGTCAGTTCACCTCTCTGTGCCTTAATTCTCCCTCTGTAAAATGGGGATTATACAATTCCCTTCTTCCCAAGAGAGTTGTGACGCTCATTGCATTAATTGCTTGTGAGAAAGGTTAGTAACATAGTGAAGGGGCTGTTGATTAAAAGTTTCAAATAAATAAGAGTTTCATTTACTCGCCCCCTCGCATTTCCGGCCATTGCATTCCAACACCAAGGTGACATTCCCTTAGCCCTGTGAGGCATGGACCGGCTTGGGTCCGAGCTTTAGAGAAATGTAGCTGTGCTGGCCTGACAACAGAGTGGGGAGGCTGCTTGCAAATACGTCTCTTGCTGCTCACAGGTGGCATCCTGTACATGGTTCCTCCTTCAAGCTCAGAGTATGGAATAGGCAGGGCTCAGGACTAACTGGCCCAGTGCTCTATTCCACAATGGCAGTTCCAGCATTCTGTAGTTATTTTCATCCCCTTGAGAATTTGGAAACTGGCAATGTCTCTTTCATATCCCAAGAGGAGTCAATACTAAGAAGGAACCTGGTGATTGGCAGGACTCCTGGCCTGCCAAACAGTTCACCCTGGGCTGCCTCCCATTCCAGTCTCGGAAAACACCAACAGACCAATGACTTGTCCTTGGAGCAGGAAGCACGGTCCCCTTGCCTTTGCGACCGGCCATCCTGTTCCTCCCGCCCCTTGAGACCTGAGCAATTGGGACCCAAATTACCGAAGGGATTGATTGGGGAGTTGCTGAGGCTCCTGTCAGGGCTCTATATAGTCTTGTCTTGCTTGGGCATAAGTCCTGCCCTCTTTGCTACCTTTGTCACATTGGCGTAAAGCTAACACACATCTCTGTCCCTGTTTCAGATGAGAGAACACGGTCTGATTTAGACATCACTAGACACATACTCCTCCAAGGCCCCGGGAAACCCTCCTCCCCCTCCGTGAAGGAGCGGTCAGCTCTCTATCTCTCTCAGACAGCTGCGGCCGCTGCTCACACAGGCAGCCTCCCACAGTCTGTAAGTATCTCGTGCTTTTCATTCCTGGGCCTTGTATGAGCCACCAAAAGCATCCAGGCAATGTCCAGTCCCAGCAACTGGCTGTAAAGAAGGAAAGAGAATGTGTGCACTTTTATATAGATTTGGAGGCATTTGGAATTAATCTTCCAAAAATCACCATCTTTCTCTTTCCCGGGAGCTGTCAAAAATATTAATTTACCATATAAATATGTAAGTCCTTAATAGAAGGGTTCTATGTTATAATGAACATGCATGTACACACATATAGGCTATGTCTACGCTGGTGGCTCCTTGCGCAAGGGTTCTTGTGCAAGGAGTCCTGTGCAAGAACACGTCCACACTGCCATGTGTGAGATGTGCTTTCGCGCAAGAGCGCCCATGGCAGTGTGGATGTGCGGCAGGGGTTCTTGCACAATAAAATTCTATAGCTAAAATAGCTTTCTTGCGCAAGAGGGTGTCCACGCTTGTGCTTCTTGCGCAAGATCTACTCTCTTTTCTTACAAGTGGAAGCTGTCTTGGCAAGAGCTCTTGCGCAAGAGAGCTTACACTTGTAAGAAAAGAACGTAGCTCTTGCACAAGAAGCCGTCTCTTACCACGCGGTACTGTAAATCTTCTTGCGCAGGAGCGGGTGGACAGTGTGGATGCACTGCGGATTATTGCGCAAAAACAGCCATTCTTGCGCATGAAGCCGCAAGTGTAGACATAGCCATATTGTATATACATTATACACACACACATATGTATTGTGTACGCATATTATTCTATCTTTAATAACTCTCTTCACTTACCGTGCCTATGTTAATCATCTACAATACTCTTGGCTACGTCTACACTGGCACCCTTTTCCGGAAAAGGGATGCAGATGAGACAAGTCGGAATTGCAAATGCAGCGGGAATTTACATTTTCCCCGCTCCATTTGCATGAACATGGCTGTCGCTTTTTTCCGGCTCGGGGCTTTGCCGGAAAAAAAGCGCCAGTCTAGACAGGGATCTTTCGGAAAATAAAGCCTTTTCCGGAAGATCCCTTATTCCTGATTTTAAGAGGAATAAGGAATCTTCCGGAAAAGGCTTTATTTTCCGAAAGATCCCTGTCTAGACAGGCGCTTTTTTCCGGCAAAGCCCGGAGCAGGAAAAGAGCGGCAACCATGTTCATGCAAATGGAGTGGGGAAAATGTAAATCCCCGCTGCATTTGCAATTCCGACTTGTCTCATCTGCATCTCTTTTCCGGAAAAGGGTGCCAGTGTAGACGTAGCCTTGCAGTTTCAGCTGCATGTCATATCATTCACTCCCACCCCTACATTCTTGTGTGGTGTTGCTGTGTGCTGTTAAATGGCTGCTGTACTCCACCCCAGGGGTGACCATTTCAGCCGGTAAAACTCATTCCAGGCCTGGTCCTGCTTGCACGGTAGTAACTAGCAAAAGTCAAATACACTTCAAATAGACCCTGGAAGGATGCATCTACACTGCACCCTTATTTTGAGATAACTAGCGTTATTTTGAAATAACAATGCGAGCATCTACCCAAAATAATTTTGAAATAACGGATGGCTTATTCTGAAATCTGTAAACCTCATTCTATGAGGAATAACGCCTATTCTGAACTAGCTATTTCAAAATAAGGCCTGTGTAGACACTCCACTGCTGCTATTTCGAAATAGCCCCTCACCTGGGTCGTTCTAAGTTATTCCTTCCCAGTGCCTCCTGGAGCTCTTGAACTAATTTGGAGGCTTCCTGGCAGTGTAGATGTGCTATTTTGAAATAAACTATTTCAGAATAACTATTCTGGCATAGCTTATTTTGAAATAAGCGTGCAGTGTAGACATACCCTAAGATACTTTGTCACCTTGAGTGACATGTTTTCATAGAGAGAACACTGATCGCAACACATCAGCTGTATTGTTCTAGCCTTTCCTTTGGCCATGCGCTGGCCAGGCTGTCAGTGGCACTGGACGCCAGCTCAGCATAACACACCACATCCTGCAACCCCTGTGCCCAAGCGATCTGCCGGCCTCAGCCTCCTAAATCGCTGGGATTACAGGCATGCACTGCCATGCCCTGTCTCCATAAGATACACAGATAGTAATTTGTAATACGCATTAAGACTTTCAAAAGGTGTCATACAAGAGCCTAACGGAGGCTGAGCACCCCACAGTTCCCACCAACCACAAGGAAAGTTGTGGCTGCGCAGTGCCTTTCAGGATCAGGCTCTGACTAAATCCTAATGGATACACCAATTTCAGAGTGGAAGGGAGCAATTTTCTATGTGATTTCCATTAAACACCTATAGAAAAACACCTCAATATGTCCTATAAGCACCTGTGCTGTCCGTACAGCAGCACACACAAAGTTGGTGCATGCAAACACACGTGTGAGAGGAAACCACACATTCAGGCCTGCGTTTTAGCTGGGAGGCATGTGTAGATATACCCCTGCTAGCTTTGCTCAAGCTAACATGGGCAGCTTCTTGGCCTCCCAAAGACAAGCCCAGCCAGACCCCCGGTACGTCCCACAGGCGACTAGCCCAAGCTACACTAATTGGGTTAGAAGGCTAGCACAAGCAGATAAACTCTCAAATGTAGACATATCCACAGTAAAGCGAGTTTAAGCCCTAGGGCAGTTGTCTGCACTGAGAAGCAGGATGTCTTAAGCTCTGTTCATGTCTGTTTCCTTACTCATAAATACACAGGTACCAAAAAAAGGGGAGGAGGCAGGGAAAAAAATGTGTCCAGTTGAGAACAATCACTTGAATATGCCCTTCTCAAGCCTTTTAGGTCCCCTCTTATACTCCTTCCGCTCCTACATCAGAGCATCTTTATAGCCACACAACAATGCTCTCATCTCTGCAGGTTCTGATTCCCCTATGCTCCCTTCCCTTTGTACTTATGTGTGTAACACTTCATGCCTCTCCTGCAGTGTACTTATTGGGCCACAAGGGCATTCTTGATTTTCAATTATAATTATTTCTTCTGGGTTTTATGTCAGAAAAAAATTATTCTGAAATAATAAAAAGTCTAATGTAAGAGCTAGACCACTGAAATGTAAGAGCTAGACCAAGTCACTGAAATACACTGAAATACACTGAAAGGGAAGGTTGGCTCAAGACACGCAACTCCAGCTATGTTAATTGGAATAGAGTTGATGTACCTTGTATTGAGTTTCCCCACCATTCCCACAGCAGGAGGCCAGTGTGAGCAAATGCTTCCATCAGCTTCCCTTGCTCCTTGCAGGAGCAGGAGTACCTGCCACCAATGGGAGCACCTTCTGAGTTTGATTTAGCAGGCCTTAACCAGACTCACTAAATTGAACTCCAGAATATCGATCATGGAGGGTCAATCTTCACTTTAGTGAAGATATGACCTTAGTGTGTTTTATATTCACAACCGTTTTATATAATTGTTTTATTTCTCTTTCAGAATACCACAAAAGAGGACACTGTTCATTGTCTTGACAGCCAGAAAGCAAGCAAGGTAGGACATGCTAAAAAACGTGTTGTTGTCTAACCAAGTCTTTGTGGATTGATGTACAGTGTGATTTAACTACCTGCATATGACAATGAGGTATGCTCTCATGCAGAATATGGAGGTCTGACACCTTAACTAACCAGCCATATTTAGCACTTATTTATGGGGTTAAAATTGCCTTTATGTAAATAGGTCCAAGAATTTAGAAATATGTCAGCTCATATGAAACTGATGTGTTTTGCAACTTGACATGAAGTATATGGATTTTGGACTTTTGTCACTAAGGTTCAATGCATTTTTTTTAAACTGGAAGCATTTGAGTGTTTAATGGAGTGAATTAGCATTGCACATGGCCAATCCTGAGTGAAAAAATATGCAAGGCATAATGGCATGCAAAGGTTTTTACTTCTATTGAAAGATGAATAATTAGAATTATGGTCTCTCTTAGGTAATAATTATTAGCATCAGCTATCTCCATTTGTAAAATCTCCTATGCAATATAGGTACTGTAAGTTCAACATAGGATGATGCCATACCACCATCAAACTAGAGAGCAAAGTCAAAGTATAAACAGACAAAATTCTAATGTCACATTCACTTCATTTTACCAAAGATTCCTTTAACTGAGGGCCAAATTTAGTCCAGTAGGTCTGTCAGGAATCTACTGGTGTAACTTATACCTCCTCCTGTTTCCTCAAAGTGTGTATGTGACAGTTGCTTTGATTTCTTTCTTCCTACTTAGTCCCCTTCTTATGTATCACGTCTGAATTTGGCCCACCTAGTGTCTCTAAACACTCTAAACCCAGTGGTTTAACTCACATGTCGAGGAGTCAGAAGGGAAGACTACATAAGAAAAAGTAACGAGGAGCTGGGTTTCAGACAGTGGAGACTGGGCCTGCCAACAGAGGGGGTCAAGGGCGATAACTTTCCCAGGGCCTGCCAATTCAAAGGGCCCCAGAGCTCCCAGCCACTGCTGTGGCACTAGCGGCTGGAGACCATGCCCTTTAGAGCACATCCAGAGCACCTTGCTGTGCACTCCATGTGGCTCTGAGGGCTGGCTGGCACTGGCCCCACCCCTTCTACTCAAGGCCCCGCCCCTTCCAGGAGCATGGAGCCTGCCCCTCCCACCTTGCCCAGGGGCTTGCAGAGGCTGTTGGCTCCCCTGGTGGACGTTAAAGGAGATCACACATTCCCACTATGCCCTTTTGCACATTTTCTTCTGCCTCCATGATGTGTAAGATACTCTCCTCTACAGATCACAAGTGGGCATGAGGGGGGTCTCACACTCAACTCTCATTTTGGCCCAATACCCATGGCTTTCCCAGTTAAATGTCACCTATGTTTTCCAAATGTATTCACTACTGTTGTCCCCCCTGGAGCCACATAGTTTACTGCTATGGGAATTCTGTGCCAAAACATTAAAAATTCTGTGCATCATTTTAAAATTGTGCACATTTTATCTGTCAAAGTAACACTTTGCCTAATCACACCAGTTTCAATTATTTTGGTAATTTATTTCAAAATACCGGTCAGTAAATATATCTGTAACAACAGAAACCCCATATGACAGCCCAGTCCCTTTTTCTCTGCCCTCTTCACCCCTGGGGGGGGGGGGGGGGAGCCATTCACACCCCTCCTTCCCAGAGCTAAGCCATGGCATCCCCAGCCCAGATACCCACCTCGCTGCCCATCAGAGCCTAGGAGAGAGAGAAAGCCGGATGCTTGGTCCTGGGCTTGAATGGAGTTTCCTGCATGCTGAGCTCTCCTTCTCCCAAGTGTGTGGGGAACTGCAGCTGCTGGGAACCCTCTAGTTCTCTCCCACTCCTCCTGGGCAGTCTCTTCTATGTGCCAGCTTGGTTCTGCCAGCTCCAGCTGCCCCTACAGGCATCCAGCAGCACTGCAGCCCATTTCTGTGAGGGGAAAGGAAATTCTGCTAAAAAAAACACACACATTAATTTCCACAACAGTTTGCTTTGCACATTGGTGCAGAATTCCCCCAGAAGCAATAGCCAAGTCACAACCGAGGAAATCATGAATCCAGTCACATTTTCCTTCATTCTGGAGATGCAGGATGCACAGATGTAGGAGGTACCATCCTACTCACTGAGTTCTGTCTCCTCGTCGGGTCTTCTCCCCTCTGATTACCAGGGAGCTGTCGTTCCACTGGCTTCCTTCTGAATCCAGACCTGGGCCTTCATTGTGCAGGCCCACTGCAGCACTGCTCACCTGAACAATCTAAGCCGGGCATTCGCCCCCTGCTATTCAGACATGCCCCAATGGGCAGCAGGTATAATAGATGGGAGAAAGGCTTTCCCTTCCCAAACCGTCAGACTGGCCCCACCCACACTCTGCCACCAGAACACCTCATGTTCCAGGCAGGGGAGGCTGGGGCCATGCAATGCCTGCTTTCCCCATGCTCCAGACCTAGGGAGGCTGGGGCCACATGCTGCCCACCCTCTCCGTGCTCCAGGGCCAGAGAGCTGGGGCTGCACACTGCCCCACCTTCCTGTGGTACTGGAGGGGGTGGCTTGGCTCCTGTAGGGGTGTGGCATGGGCAGAAGGGGCGGGGCTGGGAGCAGGGTGTGGAGGCTTGTCTCCTCAGCCCAGTCTTTACGCACCACCAGGGCCGGCCCACAAAATTTTGGAATCTGAGGCAGGGAGCTCAAATGACGCCCCCATACCTCCTCGCTTGGGCCAAAACTTCTAAACTATGGGTCCTAGTGATGCCTCTCCCCACCCCCACCCCCCACAGTCTGGCCCCTGAGGCAGCCGCCTCAGTTCGCCTCCTGGTAAGGCCAGTCCTGCCCACCACCCATGCAAACTCCCGATAATGTTATGTGGATGCTCATCCTCTCTTGCTAACACTGTCCCAATCCGGTGACACTCCAGCTGTGGGGATTCTAGAGGACCAGTGGTAGGAAAGTGTGGATTAGAGACCTCGCTTTGAACTGCCATGCTGTGGAAAGTGATTTAACACTGTAACCCTCAGCCTGGGAAGAGTTTGCTGTGGCATGGTGTGTTGGCGTGCTGTGTGCTGCAGCCTGCGACTTATGGAACTCATATTCCACAGGTGCATGGGCTTTCCTCACGTGTTTGCTGTGCTTGCTACTAACGAGCACCGGGCCGGTAGGGAGAGATAAAGCTGATGTTTAAAACTGTTTCCCCAAAGATGGCAGAGTTTCAGAACCAGACGTCCTCTAAAGTGAATGGCAAGAAAGTAGAAGAGGACTTACCTCCTCCTCCCCTGCAAGATTCTTTCCAGGCCTCTGCTTCCCTGGCTGGTAGCCAGGATTCAAACCCCCTGCCTCCTCCTCCCCCTAAGGAATCCTTCTCCAAGTTCTACCAGCAGCGCCAGGTGAATGAGCTGAAGAGGCTCTACAGGCACATGCACCCTGAACTGAGGAAGAACCTGGAGGAAGCTGTAACCGAGGACCTGGCAGAAATGCTCAGTGCTGAAGATCCCAGTGCCCCAGCCTCAGTGAATTTGGACGCGGTGCTCCCGGGGGAGGTTCAGTCCATGCGCTGGATCTTTGAAAACTGGACCCTAGATTCTATTGGGGAGCATCAAGCCACCAAGAAGTTGGCGGAGGAGGAAACCATCCCAAGCGGGGATGTGAAAAGCACCTCCAGGAGGTTCGAAAGCCAGGCACTCAATGGAGAGGGATTGTCAGCAGTGACCAAAGGGCCCGAGACAGACCACACCAAAGGGGATGTGCGTACAGCCAGGTGGCTGTTTGAAACCCAGCCGCTGGACTCATTAAACAAACTGTACTCAGATGAAACAGACGTGCAGGAGGCAGTTCTTAAAGAGCCTGTTCAAAGAGGGGATGTGAAAGGCGCCAAGCAACTCTTTGAAACCTACTCCCTGGAGGCGCTGGGCCACTGCAGCTCTGTGGAGGAGCAGAGCATCCTGAAGCTCAAATCAGAAATCCAGGAGCTAAAGGGTGACGTCAAGAAAACCATCAAGCTGTTCCAGACAGAGCCACTTTGTGCTATCAGAGACAAAACGGGTGCCATCCATGAGATCAAATCCGTCTGCAGAGAAGAAATACAGAGCAATGCAGTCAGGACCGCGCGCTGGCTGTTTGAGACTCAGCCACTGGATACCATCAACAAGGACACCTCCAAAGTGCAAATTATCCGGGGGATTTCATTAGAAGAGGCAGGAAGGAGAGATGTCAGTGGAGCTAGGTGGATGTTTGAAACTCAACCTCTAGATGCAATCAAAGAATTGACAGTAGAAGAAAAGGATTTCAAGGCTTCCATGGATTTTGTGGAAGGGGCAGATGTCAGTAAGCAGCGTCTACTTTTTGAGACCCAGCCTCTCGACTCTCTGAAAGGAGAAGACTCAGACAGCATCCCAGCCAAGGAAGAAGTCATCGGTGGTGATGTGAAATCTACGCTCTGGCTGTTTGAAACCCAACCAATGGAAACCCTGAAAGATAATTTTGAAGTGGGCTGTTTAAAGAGAGTGGGGGTTTTGGAAGAGGAGAAGGGGGATGTGAAGCAAAGAAAGCACGTCTTTGAGACCTGTCCCTTAGGCAGCATCTCCAAGGCATCCTCTGAAGACCTCCCAGTCTCTAATGTACACGAGGTGATGAAGGGGGATGTGAAATCTTTCAAAAACTTGTTTGAGACTCTCCCTTTAGACAGCATTAAGCAGGCTGATTCTGAGCCCATCACCAAACCAGAAGAAGAGATAACAGCTGGGAACGTTAAAGCCAACCAGTTCCTATTTGAGACAACACCTTTGTACGCCATCGAAGACAGCTTGGGAAACTTCCACAAAGTTACCTCTGTAAGCAGAGAGCAGGTCCTGAGCGGTGATGTCAAGAACTACAAATGGATGTTTGAAACCAGACCTCTGGACCAGTTTGATGACAGCACCGAGAAGGTGGATATCATCCGAGGGATCACAAAGCAGGAAGTGATAGCTGGTGATGTCAGAACTGCAAAATGGCTCTTTGAAACCCAGCCCATTGACGTCATCCATCACCGGGCCAACCAAGCCGAAGAGCACTCCTCGGTGAAAAGGGAGGTTTCCCAGCGGGGTGACGTGAAGACCTGCCGGTGGCTGTTTGAGACGCAGCCTGTTGACACCCTGTATGAGAAGGTGGAGAGAAAGCAGGAAGGGGAAAGCTCTGTGCCGCAGGCTGACGTTAAGTCATATACGTGGATGTTTGAGACCCAGCCACTGGACTCCCTGAAAGGCCAGGAGGAGCAGTATTTGCAGATCAGCAAAGCCTACTGCCAAGATGACTTACAAGGAGTCAACGTCAAAACAGTCAGACATCTGTTTGAGACTGAACCACTGGCCAGCAATGCCTCTGGCGAGACTGACTCAAAGAAGATGGTCAGGTACTCCAGCCATGTGGAGATACAGTCCGGAGAAGTATCTCGGGTGAAGGAGTTCTTTGAAGCCAAGCCCTTAGATGTACAGGGTAAACTGGCTGCAGCCACAAAAGAGACTGGCATCCCTGCAGATGGGAACATTGAAGCTGGGTCAGTACACAAGTTCACCTGGCTCTTTGAGAACTTCCCCATGGACACTATAAAGAGCAATACTGAGGGCATCCAAGAAATCCCCCCAGAGAAGGATATTGAAGGGGGAAATATCCAGGGCAAGAGGTTCATTTTTGAGACCTACTCCCTTGACCAGATTCATGACAAGGTGGATGAGACGGAGATCAAGAGGATCCAGGAGGAGACAATGAGCAAAGCTAGTATCAAGTCCTGCACCATGCTCTTTGAGAGCCAACCCCTGTATGCCATCCAGGACAAGGAGGGGGAATACCATGAGGTCACCTCAGTGAAGAAGGAAGAAATAATGAAAGGCGACTTGAAAGGCGCCCGGTGGCTCTTCGAAACCAAACCTCTGGATCAGATCAAGAAGGAGGAAGAGGTGTTTGTGATCAGGGCTGTCACCCAAGAGGACATAAAGAAAGGGGATGTCCAGTCTGCCCGATGGAGGTTTGAGACTGAGCCTCTCGATTCCTTCTCTGGGGGGAAGAAGTCTGTGGCCAGGACTGTGGACGATGTACAAAAAGGAGATGTCCAGTCCAACAGGGAGCTTTTCGAGTCTCAGCAGGTGAGCCGGAAGAAATACGTGAGGATGGTCAGCGTCAGCGACGTCCAGCAGGGTGATGTGAGGACATCCACCTGGCTTTTTGAGAACCAGCCCATTGATTCCCTGAGGGGGGAGTCGGAAGGGAGCTCCAGCATGACCACCGTGCAGAGAGAAGACAGCCAGAAAGGGGATGTGAAGCGTTGCACGTGGCTGTTTGAAACTCAGCCCATGGACAGCCTCAAAGACCCCGAGGGACCTGCCAAGGGCAACGCCCCAGAGGTGGTCCCTCATGCTGACGTGAAGAGTACAACGTGGCTGTTTGAAACCACCCCCCTGGATAGATTCAGCTCTTCTAAGCACAGAACCGAAATGGAGGTGAGCGAGAGGACTGTGAAGGAGACTTTGGAAGGCCTCTGTGCCTGCCAGGCCATCCAGCATGATGGGATCCTCATTGAAGCCAACGACAGAGGGAGCGTGAGGATGGTGAAGTACCAGCTCAGCAGGCAAGGTACTCCAGAGATCCAAAAGGAAGAGATTATGGGAGGCAATTTGCAAAGGATCATGCTGCAGCTACTGCACAGGACCAATATGGAGGCCCAGGGGACGCTGGTGGAGGAGGACGAGGAGGGCAAAATCAAAGTCAGTCCCTTGCAGCTACTGGAGCCGAGCGAAGCCAATAAAAGCAAAGAGGAGTTGAGGGATGATGTAGCTAAGGCTCTCCAAAGTCTCCTTAACCAAGATGCCTCCATCAAAAAGGGAATGGTCATGCAAGAGACAGTGGCGGGGTCAGTGAGGTTGACTATCTACTCCCTCCTGCACCACTCCATCCAGCAGGAAGTTGTCAAGGGGGATGTGAAATCAACCATCGGGAACCTGCTGGCTTCCTCGCAAGAGCAGAGGACAATGGCAACTGTCAAACGGGAGGACAACGAGAAGGGGAACGTCCATCTGTACACCAGCTGCATCGAGAAGGGAGACCTGGACTATTTAAAGAACCTCCAGCGAGAGTCCGAGATAGAGTCCCTTGTCTCCTCCCAAGCAGAACAGGAGACAGCAGGGCCCATCCAGCAGGATGTGCAGGGGGGAAATAGGCACACCTTGCAACAGGAAGAACCAGGAGATAAAGGGGCTGCAGATGTGGGGCAAGGGGGCATGAAGGGGGCTAAAAGAGTGCTAATGTGTGAAGGAGTTAGCAAAGAGAACGTGTTAGCAAGAGAGGTAGTACATGCAGGTGACACAGACTCCCCCCTGCAGTGTCTCGGGCAAACTTTGAGCTTACCCGCAGCAGTGGAACAGGAAGATATTGTGCCTAGGGATAGTCAGGTGACCCCCCAGTCACTGCAAAAGACTCAGAATGGCAGCAAGAAGGCAGAGAGGGGGGTGAAAATTGCACCACCAGGAGCAACTGCCCCCAAAGCAGCAGCTCAGAGAGATGACATGGCCAGAAGCCAGCATTCAGTGGCAGGGGAAACCAACCCGATGACAAAAAAACTGGAAGAGCAGGCTCTTGGAAGTGACCTTCAAGCCGCAATGCAAAGCCTGAAGCTAGCCACAGCAGAGGCACAAAGCATTCAGCACCAAGTCCAGAGCAAGCTCCGCAAGAGCACGGAGGAAATTCATCTGGCCCCCAAGCAGCAGGCAGCCAGCACTTCAGTGACCCTGCAGTCGACTGTTCGCAAACAGGAATGTGCACCTGCCACGCAGCATCAAGCTAGTGCCGCCATCGCAGTCCAGGAGTCACCCAAGTCCCACACAAGTGTCTCTCAGAAGCGCATGGCATCACACAAAAAGGTCAGTGCTCCCGAGGAAGGAGAGGGAGGACAGCATTTGGGCCAGGAAAGCCAAGTTATGCCTAGTGCAGATGTTAGCATTGACGGTCTGTGTACTGCCAAGCCAGTAACACCCTGTGTAAGCCCTTTTATTGAGTCTGATTACAAAGAGCAATCAGTGCAAGAAGAAAGAGAGCAAGATGTAATGCTCAGAGGGGATGTAAAGACAGCGCTCAGAGCACTGCAAAGTGCTGCGACAGACCAGAGACAAGTAGAGAAGGAGGATGTTGTTCGAGGTAACTTAAAGGCCACCCTTCAGTCGCTGGAGAAGTCTAATGTTAATGTCTCCAAAGGGGACTTTAAAGCCGCTATGATATACAGAAATGCAGGGCAGGCATATTCCATAAGTAAAAAGGAAAACGAGACTCAATCAATTATTAACCAGACAGCGATAGTGGCCTCAGGGTCCCAGTCTGATAATGACTTTCCTCCTCCTCCTCCAGTTGCTGTGATGAAAACTAAGTGCGGTCCACCCACGGCACAAGCAAGAGAAGCTACCCCTTCCCAACCAAGCAAAAAGGATGAAGCCCTAGGATGTACTGTGCCCATGCACAATGCTCTCCCTAAATCACTCACGACTGCCTCCGCCAAAGCCAATGATCAGAAGCCTTCAGAGAAACCAGCCATTCCCCCCAAACGGGAAATTACTGCCCCGCCACGGAGGAAACCTATTCCACCTCCAAAACCTGAGCGCTTGCTGCACCAGGCACCTTCGTACCCTGCTAGGAGCAGCAAAGGGATGTTGGCAAAGCCAGTCCCACCCCCACTACCTCCTAAACCTCCAGGCCTGAGTGAGTTAAGCAAAGCAAAAACCCCACCCATGAATCAGACAAAGGAGTTGTGTTGTTCTGATGCTTCCGCTCAAGTGGGATGTGGAGATGGTCTGTCAAAGTGCTGCATCTCTCAAACATCCGTGGCCAACGCAGCTATGGTAAAGAACCAGAACTCTGAGGAGAAAGCACCAAAAGACATCATCAAAACACCTCTTCAGATAGCCGAGGAAAGGTACAAAGCAATCAAGGAAGAACAGAGCAAGCAAGAGTCAGTTGACTCTATGACATCAAAGCCACATAAAAATGGAGTGTCTGGCTCTGAAACAGAACATATGATGACCAAAGAGAAGGCAACAGCTCCAGAACATGTGATGGCCAAAGAGAAGGCAACAGCTCCTAAGAACTGCTGTCCAGCTGAGGAAATTCAGGGATGCAGACTTTCATCTGGCCAAGAGAACAACTGCACATTAACATCAGGACAAGAATGTCTGGGTAGCTATCAGTTGGGTCTTACTAAACCAGAGAATCAGAATAAGCCATGTGCTATGAGTCAAGCCACCCTTCTGAGGAAAGGATCTGCCACAGCATTAAATGCCTCACCTAAGACAGAAAGTGCAAGCATGTCTAGTGCCTATGGGTCATGGGATAAGCATAACACAACAATGAAAACAAATCAGAGAAGACAAGAAGAGCTGTCAGCATCTTCCCACCAGTATCCAAGGGACCTCTTTAAGGAGCAGCAGCAAGTGAACAGCGGACAAGTGGGAGATCTTGAAGCGAAGAAGGAGCAGCTTGCCCAAGAGAAACCAGTGGTGGTCATGCGAGAAAAGCCCTGCCGAGAAACAGAGGACGAACGTCGCAAGCGGCTGTCTTTCCACAAGGAGGAGATCATGAAGGGCAGTGTCAAGGAGGCTATGGAGATCTTTGAGAACCTGCGGAGGCAGGAGGAGTTGCAAGAGATCCTGACCCGAGTGAAGGAGTTTGAAGAAGAGACATTCAAGGTGGATGTGAAAGCCCTGAGGAGCTTCTTTGAGAATGTTCCAGAATGGGTGGTGCATGAGAGGGTTCACCAAGCCAAGCAGCAGCACAAAGCCGAGAAGACTGAGCAAATGGCAAAGGAAGACTCTGACAGCGTCTCTTCCGTGGAGCTGGCTTTTGAGGACCTGGAAAGGGCAAGTGCTGAGATCATCCACCTGAAGGAGCAGACTCTCGCCAGGCTGCTAGACATCGAGGAGGCCATTAGGAAAGCTCTCTCTTCTGTTTCTCATCTAAAGTCAGAAGCAGACATAGCTGGGCTCTCTGGGCTCTTCAAGGAGTCTCTGGGGAATGCCCAGAGCCCTGCAACCAGCACCAATATCCGCAAGATCAGCATCGTGTCCAGCAAAGCCAAGCAAGAGAAAGCAGCACAAGGGACACCGAATGCAGCATCTGTGGGAAGTGCAAATGTGTCGGAAAAGACGGAGATGCCCAAGGGAGAGCTAGAAGTCCCCTGCGTCATTCAGCAGCGTGTAAATTCTCCATCCTCACCTTCTTATATCTCCATTGAATCTGCTGCCAGAAAGCCTGTGGAATCACCCAGGACAGTGTATCCCCCCCAGGATGCCCCCTTACCAGATTATCCCACCATGCCAGGGAAAAGAGACACGTTCACTCAGGACATCTTTAACTCATTAACTCGCAAATCAATAGGCTCTGGTGGATGCAATCCAGCTCCCTTTGAGAGCGAACAGGAGCCCATCCAGATGAAGATAGGATCGAACTCAATTAGGCAACACCGTCTTAGCAACTCGGTGCCCCAACTCAGTGACCATAGTGACAAAGAGCAATGCACACCGGACATATCCAAAGGCAGCTGCCGTGGTGCCGTCAAAGGAGGCTTTTCTGACTACAGCTCCAAAGCCCCTCTGAACATCTCTAGCCCACAGAATGCAAGGCGGCAGAAAAGCATCCTAGAACTGCAGACAGGCCCAGACGGATCCAAACTTTACGGAGCCACCAGAACCGTGACCGAGCAGTACGAGGAAGTGGATGAGTTCGGAAACAAGATCATCACTTCGTCTACCACTGTCACCAAGCAATCAGAGACCCAAACCTCCTCCACCTGCAGTGTGGTCTCTCCTCCCCGGTATGAGATAACTGCCTCGCCCCTCCTTCGGCGATACCTACACAGCCCAAGTGAAGACTTCCACTCAAATGGTAGTTTCCAGGAAAGTGGGGTGGTCTTTGTCACGTTTGGTAACTCCAAGCCAAAGAAGTAGAGGGCTTTGAATAATGGGAGATTGCAGAAAAAACAAGTAATTCACCGATCTAACCATGTGATGTAAAGGAACTCTGCCAAGCCCTGTGATTCTTTCCAAATATTTACCTAGTCTTTGGCATACAGACACAATAGATGCATTCAGGGGCAGCACTTGTGGTAAACAACACCCTTCACTTCACCAGCCTGGCAGACCCCACATGTGAAGAGCTGAAACTTTGATAGAAGCACAAGCAAGAACATAAACAAAAGGGTGTTTTAAGGTGGTTTCTTCTCCTCTGAATAGTATTTGCGGTTGTGTCCAGGGCATCTCTGAATCCAGGCAGAAAAAAGGTCAGTTAGAGCCAACCAAAAGACCAGCCTGTCTGGGTACTTTGGAAACCGATTCATTTATCCTCTTTCTGATAGCAGTGCTGACCTCCCAACAAGCATACGTTATCACACAGACACACACACACATATGTACACACCCATGGGTGGGTTGGAATAGGATTCTCTTAGCTATTAGAAGAAATAACACCTTCAAATTGCTTTTGGAGGTTAGGGGGAGAGACACTTTGCAAAAGCTCAGTACATAGCAAGTATTCAGTAGTACCTAAAATTGTATGAATTAGGATTCCCAGGGTGTTTGTGAGTGTCTTTCCCCCTCAGAAGGACATGAAGGAAGATGCTCTGGTTAAGACTACAATAAGTTCAACTAAAGAAATAGATGGTTATTGCTTTCCTTTCTTTTCTAGACCTGTAATTTATTATTCATTATATACAAAATCTTTTATTTTAAAGTCCATGCATTCTTATGTGTAATGTTTAAATCCATTTTGAAACATTGTAAAGAAATTTTCTTTTTATTATGAACTTGTTTTGTACATCCTCAACACAAGATTTTAGATATTCTGAGCCCTCCCCCTTTTTTAATTTTTATTGCGCATTTTGAAGGTAAACATTACCTCTGAAAACACTCTGGTCTGGTTATTTGTTTTGTCATTTGTTTGATTGAGTTCCAAGTACTTAGCATTCCTCTGTACTTAGCATTCCTCTGATGATGAACTAGTTGAGTCTTTTGTGGTCACCACCCAGCTTTATCAGTGGACGCTAAAAAGAAAACAGAGCTAGAAACGATAGGAACAAAAACTGAATTGTGAATTTTCAATACAAATGTATTTCCAAAAGAAATCCACCAAAAACCTGGAAAAATGTTATTTTCCAAGCTTTTCCTCTTTTACGGCCATATTATTTTGAAAATTCAAAATTAAAAGAAAAATTCTGCGTATTTTGACCAGCTATAAAAACAGGAGTGAAGAATGTATCTAATGTTTGGCAAGTTGATTGGCGTTCATGAGGACTACCTTGTGATTTGGTCATACAAGGGAGCAAGAATCCCACCTGACTGCCAGGTTAATTTGGGTGAACCATGTCTGGCTCTGAACTTAGCCTGGTGTAAGTGTCCATATTACAAAGCTACATCTCCGTTGGTGTGTCCTTACTGGTGTTGCAGTCACTCACATGCCTCACTAGAATTTCTGGGACATCACCCGTGGCTTTCAGTGCTATGGTGAGTTGAGCTGCTCCATGAGTCTTTTCCAGTGACTTACAGGAGAACATATCTGTTCTGGGTGCAACTGTAGGAAGGCATTGGAGGACTATCAGCATTGGAGGGTTTAGCTTCGGTCCTCCCTGCCAAGTATGTGGTTCACCTGCCTGAGTGTAAGGAGCACTTGGGCTTTAAGACACCACCACTTTGGGTCAGTGGGGTTTGTGTGTGCTAGTACAGGCCAGTAGCAAGTTACTCCCTCTGCCCAGAGCAAGGAGGAAGCAAAGGTGTGAGGAGCGGCGGGGTGTCTGTGCCCCTCACGGCTACAACGTGGAGCTGCTCAGGCTGTGCCAAAAGTCACAATCTAGCCCCTCCTCTGGAATGGAGATGAGTTGGTGGGGATTTCTCTCAAGCTGCGTGCTGTCTTGGAGAACTTATGCAAAACTCACATAGCAATGTGGCTTAGTGGTTAGCACCCTATGGATTCTCTTCCCAGCAATGCCAGCAGGCATGTTGGGTGATCTTAGGGAAGCCACTTTGCTATTAAGTCCTTCCATTTCCTTTTCTGTAAAAGGGGGGCAACGATACAGATTTCTTTTGCAAACTACTTTGAGATCTACTCATGAAAAGCACAATACAACCGCTAGCAATTATTATCATTTATGATTGTTGTTGTTATTCCTTCTACCAATCCCTGTGCAGAAAGAAGGGGTTCTGACATTTACACTGATGATTAAAGAGAAGAAAGAAATGAAAGAAAATATTTATTCCTGTGGTGTGTCATTAATAATAGAACCCCCTGCTTCAAAAAACCCCAGGGAGCTAAGCGGTGAGCTGAAAAGGACCCAATTATTCTATGCTCCCTGACACTATGGGTGTGTCTACATTACAGGGTTTTTTCAAAAAAAAGTAGCCTTTTTTCAAAAAAACTTCACCTGCGTCTAGACTGCAGCCACATTCTTTTGAAAGTAAATCAAAAGAACGCGGCAGTTTTTTTGATCGCGGTAAACCTCATTCTACGAGGAATAACGCCTTTTTTCGAAAGTACTCTTTCAAAAAAAGGCGCTATTGAATGCAAACTGTACTTTTTCGAAAGAGAGCATCTAGACTCTCTTTCGAAAAAGTGGCTCGCTTTTTCAAAAAATCTGCTTGCACTCTAGACTTTCTCTTTCAAAAGAAGCTTTTTTGAAAGATTCTTTCGAAAAAGCCTCCTTTGAAAGAGGCTTGTAGTCTAGACGTAGCCTAGCTGAACTGTGAAAAGGAGGAAGTTAATCAGACTTCATACTTGAGGACATAAGCTGATCAACAGTGTGGAAGCCAGGACGAAACCTTGTCTGCTTAAGCAATGCTGCACCCTGCGTTATAGCTGGTTTATTCCTTCTTTTGAAACATATGGCCTTGGATGATACATTGGGTGGACCGAGTGATCAGATGCAAAATAGACACTCGTGTAAGATACATTAAGAAGGAGCACAGGGGCTAATGCAGGCATCTGATATTGCCATGTGTTGGGGATCTGAGTTCATGCCTCACTCCTTGGGGAGCGGGGTCTTGGAGGACTAAGCTCTGGAAGCAGAGAGCAGTTCCCATATAGTGTGAGGGTGATTCTTCAAGATGACATACTTTGTAGCCCTGATAGGCTCCCGCCAGAGCCTTGATAAGCCTTTCTTGGAGCAGAGGAGCAGGAGGACCTTTTGAAATATAAGCCAAGGGGAAATGGCTCCATCTCTTAGAAAGAAAGCACACACACACATGCAAGAGAGATTTTTAAAAGTGGGGAGGCAAGGGATTGGCTTTGGGCCATATTTACCTGAAGCTGACATTGAGATACTCAGGAGGCAAAGTCAGAAAGACAGGAGGCAATAGGGCAGTTTCAATTCTGGCCAGAACCCAGAAGAAAAGAGATGTACAAAACAGTAAAGCAAAGGGCAAAAGCACCTTGGTCCATGAAGGACACCATCCATTGCGTGAACCCGGTCTTGGGATCCAAGCATTTTAGCGCCCCACTATTGTTTTGTTCAGGATCAATTCTGTAAACAGGACTCAGAGGGTTTATTTTGATTTTTTGGAGTTGCAGTACAAAATGCTTGCACTCTGCTTTCCTTATTCCTCCTTGACACTAGTATTAATTTGTTTCAAGCTGCAAAGATGCTTTACAAAACTGCATATTGCTTGCATGGGCTGTGTTCTGATTCCACATGGTCTCCGATAAACCCAAATACCTTGCACTGCCAGCACTTAATAAATAATAGTCTTATTGTTTGTGTTGTTATTTTCATGGGCTTTTCCAGTGCCTCACTGAGCCATTTATGAGGCTGAAGTAATTTGAGACGCCTTCCCTTCATGCTAGTCTCATCACCCAGGAATGGCAGTATCATGACAAAGATGGATGTTGGATTATTTCAGCTCTATAGGTGGCCCCTTGAAGCATGAAAAAAGCCAAGGAAAAACAAATGCAAATGCCTGTAACATAAATGCAAGTTAAAAAATCACCACATTGTCACTTCCTCATCGCCATTTGAAGTCCCTCCAATAACAATCCCTCTCAAATCCCTCGCACTTTTGTATACTGCTTGGGGGGTCTTTGGATATCGTGTACTACATTGTTTGGAATTTTTGCTCTTCTGTGTCTCTCTGCAGAGGACAGGGGGGCATTGTAAATTTTACTTCATGGTGTATTTGCAAGATAAAATTCTAAAAAGAAGAGTGCAGATTACTACACTTAGAAAAGAAAAATCAAATGCACAAATACAAAACCATCTAAGAAGTAATACTGTAAAAAGGGTTTGGGAGTTATAGGAATCACAAATAGAATATGAGCCAACCAGGTGACAGAATTGCAAAAAGAGACTAATATCACTCTGGAGTGCATTAACAGGAGTGCTACATGTAAGACACAAGAGGTCCCAAGTTGCATAAGGGAGGCCTTAGCTGGAGAAATGTATCCAGTTGTGGGCATCAGGCTTTCAAGGAAGTTATGGTCAGACAGGAGGCTGTCCAGACAGCCACAATGATAAACAGTTTAGAAAACCAGGCATATGAGGAAAGGATAAAGAAAACTGAGCATGTTTAGTCTTAAAAAATGAAGCCATTTTGAACACTATTATACTTTAGCTTTCACGTCGTCCCCTGGCAAGGAGTTCCACAAGTTGACTGTGTGTTGTATGAAGTACTTTCCTTTTGTTTGTTTTGAACTCATTGTCTATTTCATCAGGTGACCCATGGTTCTTGTGTTAGGTGAAGGGGTAAAATAACACTTCTGTTTTCACTTTCTCCACACCAGTCATGGCTTTATAGACCTTTGTCGTATCACCTCAGTCATCTCTTTTCCAAGCTGAACAGTGCCAGTCTTTTTAATGCCACCTCACGTGGAGGCTGTTCTATACCCTATTCACTTTTGTTGCGCTTCTCTGCATCTTTTCCAATCCTCTCTTTTTTTTCCTGAGATGGGGTGTCCAGAATTACATTCGGTATTTGAAGAGTGGGTATACTGTGGATTTATACAGTAGCATTATATTTACTCTCTTATTAGCTATCCCTTTCCTAGTGATTGCTAACATTGTTAGCTTTTTTACTGCCCATGCTTTCAGAGTGGATGTTTTCACAGAACTATTTACAGAGACTCCACGATCTCTTTCTGGAGTGGTAACAGCTAAATAAGACCCCAATCATTTTGTGTGGCAAGATGAGATTATGTTTTCCAATGTGCATTACTTTGCACTTATCAATATTGAATTTTACCTGCCACTTTGTTACCAAGTTACCCAGTTTTGTGAGACCTTAGTAACTCTTTGTAGGCAGCTTTGGACTTAACTATCTTGAATAATTTTGTATCTTCCAATTTTGCCACCTTACTTTTTACCCCCTTTTTTTCCAGATCATCTTGAAAATGGATTGTTTATCCCTGCCCTTTGTTTTCTATCTTTTAACTAGTTACAGATCCATGAGAGGACCTGCCCTCTTATCCCATGACTGTTTACTTAACAATATTTGGTGAAGGATTGGGTTAAAGGTTTTCTGTAAATACAAGTACACAATATCCACTGGATCACCCTTGTCAATGTTTGTTGGCCCTCTCCACATTGGGCAGATGTACTATTGCTTGTGATGAAGTGGCTACAGTAGCTGTGATATAGTGTACATATAGCTGGCACATTGTTTCACTGATGGATAGTTTCAAAAAGCTTCCTTTCACTTCTACTAAGTAGTCTGACAACGGCTTCCATGAGCTGTGTCAATAGTACACAACGGCAAGTTGTTTTGAGAGCCTCTCTTAAAGGTTTCCCTTCCCCAACCGGTGGCTGCCAATATTTTCTATCACACAGTTTACCATCAATTCTTACTGTGGGTCTCCAGTAAGGTTCCCTCTAATCTTTTCCATCCATGTGCAGATTTTTTTCATTTCTGTGCAGAATAAATGTTTATGTGCACCAAGGCCTGTGTGAATGTGCACCACTAGGAAAAACACAAAACCTAGCTGTGGGCACTCTGCTAATCAGTTGAACAACATCTGAATTTTTCCTGAGCAGCCACACAAGCACCCAACTTACAGAGGAGTGGTCTCCATTTCTCATCCATGCCAAACATGATGAACAGTCCAAGAGAGACAATGTCTACATTATAGATTCTGTGCCAGTAAAGCTATGCCACCTGAGCCTGCTGGTGAAAATGCAGAATATACCCACAGATGAAGTTTTCTGCCGGTATAAGAGCAGGTGATGTTAGCTATGCCCACAGAAGCCTTCAACTGGCCGCATAGTTGTTTCTACACAGAGGGTTTTTTGGCACAGCCTTATTAGTGGGGGTAGGTGGGTTTTTCTCACCTCATCACATAGCTGTGTGATACAAGTTTTACAGATAGCCCAAGACAAAGTCTTTATGTTCCTCAGTGTTGCCTTAGAATCATAGAATAATAGGACTGGAAGGGACCTCGAGAGGTCATCGAGTCCAGCCCCCCGCCCTCAAGGCAGGATCAAGCTCCGTCTACACCATCCCTGACAGATGTCTATCTAACCTGTTCTTAAATATCTCCAGAGAGGGAGATTCCACCACCTCCCTTGGCAATTTATTCCAATATTTGACCACCCTGACAGTTAGGAATTTTTTCCTAATGTCCAATCTAAACCTCCCCTGCTGCACTTTAAGCCCATTACTCCTTGTCCTGTCCTCAGAAACCAAGAGGAACAAATTTTCTCCTTCCTCCTTGTGACACCCTTTTAGATATTTGAAAACCGCTATCATGTCCCCCCTTAATCTTCTTTTTTCCAAACTAAACAAGCCCAGTTCATGAAGCCTGGCTTCATAGGTCATGTTCTCTAAACCTTTAATCATTCTTGTTGCTCTTCTCTGTACCCTTTCCAATTTCTCCACATCTTTCTTGAAATGTGGCGCCCAGAACTGGACACAGTACTCCAGCTGAGGCCTAACTAGTGCAGAGTAGAGCGGCAGAATGACTTCACGAGTTTTGCTTACAACACACCTGTTGATACAACCTAGAATCATATTTGCTTTTTTTGCAACAGCATCACACTGTTGACTCATATTCAACTTGTGGTCCACTATGACCCCTAGATCCCTTTCTGCCATGCTCCTTCCTAGACAGTCGCTTCCCATCTTGTATGTATGGAACTGATTGTTCCTTCCTAAGTGGAGCACTTTGCATTTCTCTTTATTAAACCTCATCCTGTTTACCTCTGACCATTTCTCTAACTTGCTAAGGTCATTTTGAATTATGTCCCTATCCTCCAAAGAAGTTGCAACCCCACCCAGTTTGGTATCATCTGCAAACTTAATAAGCGTACTCTCTATCCCAATATCTACATCATTGATGAAGATGTTGAACAGTATGGGTCCCAAAACAGACCCTTGAGGAACTCCACTTGTTATCCCTTTCCA